CAAAACCTGACACTCCTCCGAGCCTCAAGCCCTTTGGCCCTCCGAAGTTGTTCTTTTGACTCTACCTTGACAAATCTATTTCGTCATAATACAAGACATCAATCCTCAACAGTAGAAGTAGTCAATAGGATTATCAAATATCTTAAGTTGTCACCTGACAGATGTGTTTGATTGAAACTGAATGTTCACACTAATATTATTGGTTATTCTGATGTTGACTGAGCAGGTAGTCCAATTAATAAGAGGTCCACTACGGGCTATTGTACATTGGATGGCAGATACTTAGTTACTTGAAAAAATAAGAAACAAAATGTAGTTGCTCGATCCAGTATAGATGCCGAATATAGAGCTATGGCTTCAACTACAAGTAAATTGATATAGCTAAGTAGCTAAAATACTTACTTTGATATATAGGGTTCCCAACGGTCAATCCAATGGAGATATTTTGTGATAATCGAGCAGCTATGCATATAACCTCTAATATAGTTTTTCATGAAAAAACCAAACACATAGAAGTTGATTGTTACTTTATGATAGACCAACTAGCAGACATGTTTACCCAAGCTATTGCAAAGACAAAGTTCAATCAGATATTGTCCAAGTTGGGCTCTATTGATATGTACGCATCAACTTAGAGGGGAGTGTAGACAGTTATAAAGTCCAAATATTGAGTTTTCTATCTTGTATATTGCAAGATATCAAATCTTCCTATATTGAGTTTCCTATTTTGTGGGATTACTATTGTAATAAGATTTGTTTCTTAAAAGGTAAGAGTTGTCACTCTATAAATCTCTTATAAACCAAAGTAATCTTTATGAATGAAATATTAGTTTACCCTCCGTGGATATATGCACCATTGCCAAACCACGTACATGTTGTATTGGTCTATTTTCCTTTCTTATCGTCTATTTTTCTCTAATTGCAACTTCATCAGAATGCATGACAACTTGGAAAATGGATGGTAACTTGGGCAAACAAGGATAGAATGATAGAGATTGAGAAGCAGGGATATCATCATAGCATTTTCACAATTAATTGGCATCAGTTCAATTAATTTAAATTAAATTTATTATTATTTATTCACAATAATTTTTGTCAAGTCTCTAGTAACTCAAAAATATTATGTTAAAATTCGGAGTTAAAATTTTAAAAAATAAGTAAAAATTCTTTAAAAACTAATTTTAGGTTTTAAAAAAATTATATGTATTGCATTATAGTTTAAAGTTATTTTTATTGAAAATACATCAATACTGAGAGCTTGTCTCATGTTTGAGTGTTTGTTATCCATTACATTCATTTTGTAATCAAATGAAATTTAAAATGCAACTCAATGCAATAAAATGATCTCTCTAACTCAAATTTATAGTAAAAAAAAATATATATATATAATAATTTTGGCCCTTTTGATTTAATAGAGATAAAACAGAAGTATGGCCCACACAAATAAATAAAATCTAATGTATAATAATTAGTATGGACAAAAATATAGCAATTAGAAATATGAACTTAATATCATGTTTCAATGAAATTAGATAAACAAGTAAATAAATCCGTACTCGTGATGAGGAATAATGGATAAAGCAACTTGAAAATAGATTCTGAAATAGGTACATGGACTAAGGGTGTCATGAGGTAATGTTTTTTTTTCCTTTTAAAATATCATGTGAGCTATTATTATTATTTTCTTTTAAAATATCTCATAAACTAGTATTATTTTTTATTTTTTAAATATCATATGAGCTAGTATTAAATTTTTTTCTTTTCTTTTTAAAAATCTCATCCCACATTTTTCTTGGGTGATGTTTATTCACCCAAATACAATGAAATATTAGAGAGAAAGGGGGGAGAAATTATTTCAAATCGGACAATTATGTGAACAAAGGCGTGTATAAAAGTGGCGTGACCCAACTTGCATGTTACAAGGTGCCATGCGTGAGACGGCGTGCGTAAGCGTCATTTTGGATAGTGGCCGATAATGATGACCCCATAATTGGATAGTGGCCGACAATGATGGCCCCATAATTTTGAATTAAAAAAAAAAAAATAATCGTATAGTACCCTTCTTTAGGACCCCTAAATACTTCAAAGGATCACTAATAAATTTGACATGGATTTTAAAAAAAGTTGAGTCTCAAACATATGTGATAAATTTTCTAGAAAAACTAAACGCTTCGCATTTGCAAATTGAAAGGTGAGGGCAATAATGGTGAGCCGACCTTTTTTAATTAGAAAGCTGTAAATTAAAAATTGAAAAACGTGAACATGTGCACCGGTTGACAAATGTTGAAACCGTGAGGCTTGACCCGAGAGGATCAAGGGGCAAAACAGTAAGTTCTTGATGTACTGCGGGAACCAGATTGTATAGAACGATTTTTTATTTGGATCGAGTGATTCTGATCTATATCGACGTTGTTTCAAACACTTATCTCAAAGATGAAATTAGCATTACCCTATGTATATTTACTAGTCTCAATATTTATTAATATCAATAGAAATTTATTATTTACTACTATCAATAGAAATTTATTATTTGAATCATATTTATAGGGGTGGAAGGTGCCGGTTCGGCCCGGCCCTAAAAAACTATGGCTTGAGCCAACCAAGAAAGACACGGCCCAGCCTGGCCCTTATTTTTTTTCATCTTTTTTACATTATTTTCTTTTAATTTTACCTGGTGCAGCCTAGTCTGACCTAGTTTTGATAGGCCCAGGGCCGGGCCCTCAGGGGAATTGGGCCAGGTCTCAAGCTAGGGACGGTCCATTGCCAGCCCTACATATTTACTAATCTCAATAGAAATTTATTCCATAGTAAATAATTTATTACTTTAATATATTGAAGTATTAGAATTATCCAAAAAACCTCCGGACAAATGCAATAATAAAAATTACCACCTCTATTCAATAAGAGATTGAACATTTATTCGGCATTGATCGTTGTAAGAGATTGAAAAGGCGCTAGTAGATATTCAAGAATTGGGCTTGGGTCAAGACGTTAGAAGCTGGGTTTTCATAGCAGAGCCTCTCAACTTCCATTCTTATAACCTAATTAAAAAATATATATATATCTCCATGGACTTCTTGATAATACCTATTAAAAGTAATTTGGTTTTAAGGAAGAGATGAGCATTACTCTATTTATATTCAAGTTTATAGTACATAGTGATACTATCATCTTTCCCACTGAGTCAAAATAAATACTCTTTTAACCCTCTCCTTTAAAGAACTTTCTGGTTGATTATTCACTGCATGTAAAATATCCAGACTTAGAATAGTTACATATAGATCTATTTGGATTAGAAAATGAGATGTCTACGATATAAACATGTAGAATGTACTAAATCCTCATTGAATTTGATTTTTCCATCCAGATATTAGGTTAAGAAAAAAAAGTCCAATGGTGTGAAGAGTTCTTAATGTTAGTTGAGTTCTATAATATTCTTAATAACGATAAGTATCACTAAGATTGGGATAAGTAATTATCACTAAGATTGAGAGAAGTAATTACACGTGTAAAATGAGAAATAATTGGCTAAAAAAATGGAAGATGAATAGAATTCAATATTAAAACATTTAAGAAAATAAAAACAAGCACAAAATAAACAAAAACTAACTAAATGTAAAGGACGCCAAAAGAGGATAACATGGAAAAAAACATACCAAAGCCTAAGTGGTAGATATATTAAAAGGGGCAAGGTTTACGTAAAGTATCAGCTTTAAATAATCAAAGTAAAGCACATTTTAAAATTCTACGAAAAAAAATATAGTATTTAGTTTTGGTGCCAAAAATACCTTATGATGACTTGAAAAACTACCGCTGCTATCAAATTTTAAAGATCCAAAAATGGTATTGGTCAAGCAAATCTGTAAATACTAGAAAATCTTGTGAATGAACAATTTAGATGTCACAAGATGTATCATTTTTAAGGTGTGGTTTGTATAATAAGATCCCCACTTGAACCATGCAAGTATGGCTTGCATCTAATCTTCACCAGCAAATGTAGTTTCAATGTTAAAAACCTCATGATAACTTGATAAATCTATGTTCAAGCCTAAATATGAAATTTAAATTTAAAAAATAACACAAATTGAATAGACTTACAAATACTTAAAAATATGAAAAATTGATAGTCTAGTTAACTTTGTACAATACATACTATTTTCAAGCCTTGAAATTCATTTTTTTTTATAAATCCACACATCTCTTAGTCAAGATAACTATTGAAAGGTTCTCAAACTTCAAAAATCTCTTTTCTACTAGATTTTTGAGGTGCTACTTAATTTTACAATATAAAGTAGCAACCTTACATAAGCTTTTTTTCCTTAATTTTAAAACTTAAAATCTGATTTCTCTTTTTTTTTTTTCCACATCCATAACTCAAGATGTTCAATTAGAGGGCTTTACCGTATCAAAACATTCTTGGGTGGGCCTTTGAGGCACACGTTACTTCTATAATATAAGGTCAAGTTTGATAACTTGCAAATATTTTTTCCTATATAAAATGAAATAAGCAATAATATAAATGGAAAGAACTCCGATGCAAACAAAAAGAAAAAGATATACTCACTAAAATGAAAAGGATGATATACTATGATATCGTTTAGTTTTTATACAAGGTCACAATCACTCCTAGCCAAGATGGCTTAGGGTAAGTCACAAAGTTCTAGAGTTTTTTTAAAAAAACTTCAAGTCTAGTCAATAACATTCACACAACTGCTCGATTTAAAATCTGAAGGACAAGATTGATTGGCCCCCTTGTGCTAAAAGAAAATGGTTTTTGTATACTTTTCCAAAGACAACATAGAAAGAGAACACTCAAAATCTTGTAGAGGGATAAAACTAAACAAGCCAAGCCCCAATTTATGCTATATCACTTAATTCAAACACTTTCAAGGTTCCATGATTTCATCCCATTAAACTAAGGTGAAATACACACAAGACAAAAGCTAGGGTAAATTACTTACATTTAACCACCACAGGGATGGAAACCATTTAAACTATGGTAAATTACTAACAACTATGGTGCCCGCCTTGTCTATTGATATCATTCATAAATTTTGCAGGAGTAATTTACAGGCAAAGATATATCCTTTCTAATACTTTAATGGGCATGAGACTTGAGTGTAGTAGGACAAAATTCACTCAGCCTGCACCCCACCTGACCTAAGCCACTTAATTTTATCTACATCAGGCAAGAACTCATAAGCATCAACAAAACACCTCCAAACCCACCAAAAAGGGAGAGAGCAAAAATACCTCCACCCACAAGAGAGAGAGAGGGAGAGAGAGAGAGATCAAGATTCCTCTTTCACTCTCTTAGGGGATGGCCCATGCCTGATCTTATCCATGTGGGACCGTTTCATCCACATGTTCCCATTGCTTTGAGGGACCTCAGCAATAAGGAGTTCATTGTGCCTAACGAGGCTTGTGACTATTCCATAAACAGTTGTGGCCTTGGATTGAGTTGCGATTGTCCTCTCTACTGCTGCAAACTGTCCGCAACATGATTCATTGAATGCGGTGTCTTTTAGATTTTGCACCACCACCTCTTTCCCATTGTTGAAGGTCTCATGTGAAATCTGCAATGTATCATAAGCTTATAGAAATAAATGTCATGATTTTGCCTTTTTCTTAGACAAATTGAAGGAAAGGAAGATTTTGAGTTGATTTGTATGCGGTAATATGGTTCTCATGCACTCACATAGATGCATTGGGGTTGGAATTTGCCAAGGGCAACGAAAGAGTAACAAGTTATGGTGTGTCCATGCATACTATTATTTTGGGTAAGGCAGTGGAGATTTGGGCCCCTACCCGTTTTTCAAGTGTCCAAGTATACTATGCAATAAGGGATCAAGGAAGTGATACACACAAACTCCAGACAACAAGAAATGACAACGCTATCCATCAATGAGTTAAGCTTCAATGGAGTAAGATATAAAGAGACCCAGTAAAGAATCCACCATCTGTTCTCAATGATGAACGGTGATGATTGTGTGCCTTGACGAATGTCCCGGTGAACCCCACTACAATTAATCTCTACCATAGAACGAACAGCGGATGCCCCATTGGAGTTCCAAATACAATAATCCATGTGATAATAGTGGCCCATTAGAACACCACAACTCTTTTAAGTTACCTGGAAATTGACCGGACACTCAATTTTGATAGAAGAACAGCCACAGCCATCACCAAAGTTCATTATTATCAGCATTTTGAACGGTCTGCTCCTCAATGTTTCCCTACAAAACCAAATGAAAAGAGAAATTGATCATTGAACTGCATGATGGTACAAGCACAGACACACTCTAAGCACAAGCACAGTAGAGCTTCATCTTTGCAACATAAACTGAAAAATCTAGCATTACTGCAAGATACCTCATTAGCTTAAATGGTTGCTTGTGTAAAATGGCAGTTTTCAGATCTGGCCTTTCAGGAAAGCAAACCTAAGGAGCAAATGAAGATTCAAACATAGTCAGTGATACATACTGATAATTTAATCACAATGTATGAACAGAAGCCATCTATGAAATATCAAGTTAAAGCGACTGCCTACACAAACTGATTAATAAACCAGAGACTTGTAGAAATTTCATCTCCTCAGAATAAAAAATAACATACAAAACATATAGACAAGGTTGACTGCTGATACCAGTGATAGCAAAAGAGTGAAAACTTAATCTGGTTGGATTGGAATAGTCCAATCCGACCTGGAATCGGGTAATTGGACCAGTGACTGCCCCCCTGTTTGCTATTATAGCCCAATAAACTGTAGAAAAACTGGGTGATTTTCTCCTTAAAATCAGGAACCAAGCTATTTTTCAAAAGATGCCTCATTTCCCCCTAGGGCAATATTGGACCCCAGAAAGACTTTTTTCCACCATTTGATTGACCTCTCTCGTTTGAACCCTTTTTTTACTCAAAAAAATCTGGAACCAACCGTTTTGATAGATTACATCTTTTTCTTTATCGATGCCCCAATTTTGAGAAATCAAAAGTTCTAAAATTCCAAATTCAAACGACTGAAAAAATCTTTTGAATTATACAAATGCTTGATTCAACCGATTCAAAATCGTTTGAATTTTTAATGGCAAATCATTTGAATAAAATTCGTTTGAATTATGTTATCAGCAAATGCTTCATTCAAATGTTCCAAAATCTTCTTAACTCTTTCAAACTATAACTAATCTTTACTGAGAACTTGATTTAAAAAGATCTCTTTTCCTGCCTACAATCAAGGATTTAGGAGTTTTTCTAAACTCTCTCTCCTGGAATCATCCTCGGCTTCAATCTCTATGCTTTGGACTCTTTTTGTTCCATCATTTCAAGCCAGGTCACCTGAAATTGGTGATCCAACACTGATTTCCAAGGGACCAAGTCATCCATTGAGTCCGGTTTTCCGGAGACTGGTTATAACTCAATTTATCAGGACAGGAGAGTGGCGGCTTTGTCTTCTTGTTAAGGTGCAGGAAGATACCATACCTAGCTGCATACAAGCACTTACTGGCCTTAAAGAGAATCTTTCCAGAGAATTTTGCTCAAAATGGAATTTTACAACAAACTTCTTGTGCACATACTCCTCAACAGAATGGGGTGGATGCAAGGAAAAATCAATATTTACTTAAAATAGCCTGCACTCTGCTGATTAATATGCATCTTCCAACTGTTTACCGGAGAGATACCTTGCTGACCACATGCCATTTTAATTAATTATGCGCCTTCTTCAGTTTCGAATAGAAAAACACAACACTTTGTTCTCTTTTCTGATACTCCATGGTTTGTTATTCCTCCACATGTGTTTGGGTGTGTTTGTTGTGTTCATGTGCTGGGTATTAGTAATGAAAAGTTAGATCCTCGAGCTGTCAAGTGTGCTTTTCTGGTGACAGTACTCCTTAATTTTCAAACAAGAGCGACATATTTGATGGAAACTTATTTTATCCTGGTCCAAAAGAAGCCTCACAGTCCTCATCGCCTCACAGTCCTCATCTTCTATAGTTCCTCTTGTTAGTCATGTTGATACTTCTTCACCTCAGGTACCTGAACCTGCTAAACCTATTACTTCTACATCATGATGATGTCCCTCAAGAGCAGCACATAAAAGTTTACACGAGAAGGCAAGTGCAGGATGGACACCCTCAACTGACTCAATCATCAACCTTGCCTATATACCCACTTCCTATTTTTGACTCACATTCTATGTCTGGTGATGATAATGAACTCTCACCATCTATAAAAGTATAAGGTTATGTCCTCAACATCCCATTGCCCATTTTGTTACTTTTGCAAATTTGTCTCCATCCCAACAAAGTTTTTCTTTGGCTATTTCATCCATTTCTATTCCTAAGTCTTATCAAGAAGCATTTTCTCTTACTAGGAGGTAGAAAGCAATGAAAGAGGAAATGCATGCACTCAACTTGAATGATACATGGGAGCTCATGGAGTTACCAGCTGGAAAAAGGACTGTTGGGTGTCACAAGGTTTATGTGGTAAAAAATCAGCTTGATGGCATTGTTGAGAGATTAAAAGCCAAGTTGTTAGCCAATGGATACACCCAAACCTTTGCTGTTGATTACTCTTAAACGTTTGCGCCTATTGCTAAACTTAGTTCAGTTTGAGTAGTTACATTTGTAGCAGCGAACAAGGGCCGGCCACTATGGCAGGTTGATGTGAAGAATGCCTTCCTCAATGGTGATTTACAAGAGGAGGTAGCTATGGAGTAATCGCCTGGATTTCTTGCCCAAGCAGAGTCAGATAACATACGTAAGTTGAAGAAAGCCATTTAAGGTCTGAAGCAATCCCCATGAGTATGGTTTGAGATATTTAGTTAAATTGTGGTGGCAAAGGGATTTGGACACAGCCATGCAAATTATCATCCTCATCATCCAAGCCTTATCCCTACTATGTGAGTCGACTACATGAATCTTGTCGCGTCATTCTTCTCTATCAAGGGTCAAACCCACAGTCAGACTATAAGTCACCATATCTCTTCTCACTATTTTCATACATGTCCTTTTGGGCCTTCCCCTTAGCCTTTAGGGCCTTCAAGTTAAACCAAATCGCCCCTACTAATTAGATTTTTATTAGATCTACGTTGTACATGGCCAGCCCACTCAAGTCTACGTTTCCCTCATCTTACCCTTATCAGAGCCACCCTCAGGTTCCCTCGGATGTATTCATTCCAAATTCTATCTTGTCTTGTCTTGCCACTCAAAAAATCTCAACATCCTCATCTTAGCTACACTCATCCTATGAATATGTTGTTTCTTGACTCCCCCAACATTCCATCCAAAAAAGCATTGTCAGTGTTACAGTCGTCTTATAGAACTTCCCTTACAGTTTCATTGTTATAAGGCGATCACATAAAACTTCATATGCAAATCTCTACTTTGCCCACCCAGATCTAATTCTATGCGGGTCATCTTCCTCAATCTCTCCATTCTCCTGGATTATCGACTCCATACAAATCATTTAGTGTTTATTTGGAAACAAACCTCAAGGATAATTGTCTTAATTGTTTATGTTGATGGTATTGTCAATACAGACAATGATTGGGTAAGTTCAATCATCCGACATACAGTCTAGCACAAGTTATTGTACATTTATTGGTGAAAAATCTAATTACATGGAAAAGTAAGAAACAAAATGTTGTGGCTAAATCTAGTGCAAAGGCTGAATATAGGCAATAGCACATACCACATGCGAATTGATGTGGCTGAAGACACTGATGCAAAAGACGGGGTTTAGTATTGCTAAGCCTATGAAAATGGATTGTAATAATAAAGTTGCAACTTATATTAGTAGTCATCCAGTGTTTCATGAGAGAACTGAACATATTGAAGAAGATTGTCACTTCATTGTGAGAGAAGGTTACTAGTAAGCAGGTGTCTATTCCTATGGATCAATTTCGCAGACATCTTCACCTAAGCCCATGACTGTAATTCGCTCCAAACAATTAGCTCCAAGCAAGCAATGGGTGCCATTTATGCACAGCTTGAGGGGAAGTGCTAAAAGTCCTTTCTATCTTTTAAGTTAACAGAATCTATATGTCCTATGTCCAGTTTGTATGGACAGTATTCCCATTTCCCTAATTTTATTAATGTAAAAGAGATTTGAATAGTTACTCAAGACCTATTGGACTCTCATGTCACTCTCTCTTCCGTTCCTGCTTTTCTTTTCCTCTCTCTCTTCCCCTTCTCTAATAGGTGATATAAGCTTTTTCCTACTATCAAATAGGGTCATCCATACATGAGTTTATCTACAGCTAATTACCTAGGTTATGAAGAGAATGGCTAGTGAAGTCAGGGAAAATCCTCAGGACTGAATGCCCAATGGCTGGTAAATATGAGTAGTAACAAACTTTTCTTTCTTGAGGCACTAACAGAAAAAATGTGAGACAGCAGCTTCTGATCACTTATGGACATGGTGGGTTTGCATTAAGGAAGAGAGGGATCATGATCAAGAAAACTGGTCAAGTCAGCTTTTTAATGTTTTCTCCTTCTAATGCAAGAAATATTGTATATCAAAAGATGAAATTCTTAGGAGTTCTAGGACTCTAAGGGAGACAAAATATATAAAAATCGAATCACTTATTACAAAACTAGTAACAAGAGTATATGAAATACAGGAGCTGGACTCAATATATGAATTCAAGAGCAATTTTAAGTGACGAAAATTTTCTCACATGATGAAAATTTGCTCAGCGAATTCATAAAATAGATTCTCAGAAATATTAAATGAAAAGAGAGTACAATCAGCATTACCATAACTGATTTGAGAAATGGCAGTGGAGCCCTAAGTCCATGTATACTAGAAATTCTGAGGGTCCATTTTACATATGTTTTTCCAGTTCCTGCATGACAAAACAGCGTGAATCCATTTGTTATATCATGAAATATTCTGCCATGATAACTACAATAAAGAAACAACATGAGCAATTTTGGGCCACTCTTATATTTTTGTCACATCATTTATCTGATTAATAATAGGAAAAACCACTTTATATGCCCCCTATATTCTTTTCTAAGTGGAGGCATCACTACTTTACCGAGTCAATCTTCCTGGGCCATCCTCATTACGCCAACTTCTCTGTTTTCTTCACCAAAATGAACTCGAGATAAAGAGTATATACTCTAGTGTATCGCTCCTACCTACCCTTCATATGCCGATTTTCAGGTGCACTCATAGTATTTTCACTCAGGCGATCTTGTATAGTTGACACCCTATTAAAAAAAAGAAGAAGCCCATGACCGTTCCTCGGAATGTTTTATTTTTTTCTGATAAGCGAGCTGTCCCTTGGGGGTTTCTCCAACATTTCCCAATCTTGTAAAACAAAAATAGCATGCTCGCCCTTGTCCTACCACATCAAAAGTTTCTGCTCTTCAAACTTGCCATGTTTCTTTTCCGATAAATTAACCTTTATATTTCTCAACTAAGATTGTACAGTTTGTTTGCAGTGTATTAACTACAAAAATGATGTAAGACTTGCACAGAAAATGGGAATCTGCAACTCAGACCAGAGAAAGGTCTGAAGCACAATTGACAAACAAATCTGCAGGGAGCACCCTCCGCTATAAAAAACATGTGCTTCTCTCCAGGTGTATGTAACAGACACCAGCATAGGTCAAAAATTTGAATTAAACAAATCTTTTAATCTCCAAGGGCAATGGATAACTCTTTGGCCCAGGCAATGATGTTGTCTGAATCACATTCAAGTAGCATCACCCCGCAGCAGTCTCTTTGGATACCTGCCAGGGCCAGGTTCCCCATATAACCAACATCAAAACTTAGTGTGACTGCACCTTGAAGTGGAAAGGGGTTGGGTGATGACACTATGATATGTTTCCAGAGAGGAACCATGTCGGCCGACAAGTAGCAGCTGATATCTTTGCGGGAAAAGGCCGGGGAAATCATATCAAGCTATCATTAGCATGATTCTTTCATTCATATTACAAATATGCTCCACATTAAGCTTCCTTGACTAGCACATATCAAGCTAAATGCAACTGTTTCTATATGCACATAACACATGGGTCGCAAAAACATGTGTGAATAATTATGTTTATCAATATATATAGCATCTATAATATATGCTCATATTTATCAACCTATGTACCATCAATATATCATAGGATGAAGTACCATAGTGAATGTTGTTTGCAGATGACATAAATTTGATTAATGAGACTAGAGATGACGTTAACACAAAGTTAGAACTTTGGAGGGATGCTTTAGAGAAAAAAAATCTTAAAATTAGCCGAACTAAGACAAAACATATGGAATGCAAGTTAGTAATAATAGGAGAAGAAACGAGGAATTAATTAAGATTGATGGCCAAGAAGCACCATAAAGAGATTATTTTCGATATCTTAGCTTGTTAATCCATGAGAATGAAGAGATTGATGAGAATGTCACACATAGAATAAGAGCTGAGACGACAAAGTGGAGATGTGCTTCCGGAGTCTAACATGAACATCGCATATCAATGAAACTGATTGGGAAGTTCCACAGGCGATGGAATGTTAGGTGGCCAAGAAATAACATATTCGTAGAATGAGTGCAGCTGACATGAGGAAGTTAAGATGGATGAGTGGCAAGACAAGAAATGATAGAATTCGAAATAAATACATTAGAAAGAACTTAGAGGTGGCTCCAATAGGCAATAAGATGAGGAAAAATAAATTTAGATAGTCTAACCATGTACAACATCGACTTAAAACAACATATATTGGGAAGGGCGATTTGGTTCAAGTGGAAGGCTCTAAAAGGAAAATAGAAGGACTTAAAGGACATAGATGGAAGTAATGGGAAGAGATATGGTAACCTATAGTTTGACTTACGGCGTGGCCCTTGATAGAGCAAAATGGCAGATCCAAATAGTTGGGATAAAGCTGAGATGATAATGATGATGAATATATGTAGCATCTGCAGTGTCAAATATGAATTTACGAGTCAGTGTGTTGAAGGTGCTTGTATCCTACACATAATAAGAAGCTGCATAAAGTGAGGAAGCAAGTTTGCTTAATTATAAATATAAACAAAAAAAACACAAACAAATCTTAACGGGAAGTCTACTGCTAAAACAATATAATACATAAGAGATCTTTTTGAACATAAATAGATCAACTTTAGAAGAGAGTTTGAGAGACACACTAAGAGTTGAGAAGAAAATAAAATGAAAAAGACCAATTTGAAGGATGAACTTTCATCAAAACAAGACATTCCAAACACTTCCATCATACTTGGGAAGATTATGTTCATTAAGTTGTTTGAATAACAGAAAACTTTTGAACAAAGTTATTCTTGGCAATGACTATATTTGCACAGGTGGTGGTTTCTGTTTCAAACTCAGTTTATCATTGCATCTGTATACAAATTCACGATATGGCGCTCGTCACTTGTAATAGCATCAAGGACATGAGCACATATAGGGCAGATTCTTATAAGACTTATCAAAAGAGAACATTTGAAAAATGAAAAAAATAAAGGCAGGATGACTTTACTTTTTGGTGTATAAGATAAACTCAGTTGAATGAGATCCACACGGACATATGGAGGAATGCTGAGGCTTAGAAAGTTCATAACACCCGCAATAACCTGCTCTGGCTCAAGTTAATGATATCTTAAAGAAAACAAAGAACCAAAAACCAATAATCACAACAGCATGGGGATGGAAGTTAGAACTCAAAAACATTCCCAGCTACCACCACTAGTTAGAACTCAAAAGCATTTCAAACTAACACCACATTGAAATCAATCATACCTTAAAAACTAAAAATAGCCTTGAGCTACAGTGATAAGATGTGCAGATTCAGATGCAATAGGATGCAATATACCAGTTAATCACCAGTTTCAAAGATCAAACTCAAACAACTTATATTCCAATGAAACCTAAGACTTGAGATATACTTAAAAACGAAGGTAGACCATATCACAGCTCCAATGATAGCATGCTACTAAATGAAAGGTGATTGTAAATACACCATATTCAGTTAACAAAATCAGTTTTCATGCATAATGCCAAACCAAACTATAAGAATCCAAAAGGAAAATCTTCCAGCCGAAGGAATTAGGAACCATGTCAATGACCGAATGTAAATGAACTCGGTTTATGTTGGAGCCAATTCCGACTAGAACAGGGAAATCAAGTACACTGCGGTTGACAGTACTAGAATTTATTTTTATAATTCAAACTTAAAATTTGAGAAAAACTAAAAGAATATAATTTCCAAAATATTGTAGCTACCCAAACATGCAGTTCGAGCAATTAATTATTTCCATTCACCTCAGATTAAAACTGTAAACATTTTGTGTGGGTATTTGATCTTTGACGAAATTTGAGTTATAATTCCATGAGATACTTATAAAGCAATTTACAGTTATGCTAGTGACCTTTTCATTAGCTCCTATTATATACAAAGAATAAAAGCACTTAGATTAATATTTTCTTTCTAAGCAAAACTAGTAGTCCCCCTTGCTCTACAAGAAGGTCCCGATAATATCATTAGTATGTAATATTTCAGTGCTATTGGATAACCCATATAACAAAACACAAATCAGTATCTAGAATCAAAACAAAGAACTGTCAATACCTTATCTACTTTACCATGGATCACCAAAGCCGCTTTCTTGTCCTTTGGGGTTGGCTGCAAAAAAAAAAACAGCTCATCTAATGACTTTGCAATAGCAAAATACAATTGTCAATTAACTCTAGAAAAATGGAATCCTGCATGGCATGAGAGAAATAAAGTGAATAGTCAGGATACAACACTAGGAACAACTCGAACCACCATGGGATGCAGAATGAATAGATTGGAAAAAGAAAACTTTTTCTCGAGGTCCATGCATCTAACTTAGGACTATGTTTTTGGCAGGGTCCATTTCCATCTAACTTTTTTGTTATCTTTTTTATCAGTCACAATATCCAATGTCCAACTAACTAGGAGTTTTCTGTTGATGCACTTGGTACATAAAACAAATAAAGCACAAATGTAATTTGATCTGAACTCGTAGCATCATAGATTACCCAAAAAGAAATCCCTTTAACAGGTACCAATCAGAAATGACAGAGAAACACACTTTACTCCTATAAAGAACTATCCAACTTTCGATCTAGAAAAGTTACATTAGACACCACCCGGAAAAGTTTGTACAGTTGACTGTTATTGCCTCACAGGACACTTTGCGTAAAGTACAACCATTATGAGAATCGATGGAATACCTGAAGGTTTACAATAACGAATTTCCCCCCAAAACGGGTACATTTTAGTGGTAAGTTGCATGCAGGAGTAATCTGTAAACTGCAGGTGGAAAGCAAGGAACCCTATGTCATGAACATATCCATGGGAAGTTCACCAAAGTGGCATTAGTTACTCATTCTAAGCATTATAAACCGCAAAAGAGCGAATAGGCCAAATAAAAAGAAACAGTTTGGGGCCATAGCATCAAAACAATAGTCTCAAGCTCTCATTGAATGAATCCAAATTGCAGTTTTTTCCCCCTTTGGAATCAAAGATGGCAGGCTAAGTACAAGAAGATACGAATATATCCCTTTACTACCACCCAGAACCTCTCGACAATTACAAACATCACACAAACTCGTTTCTTTGTTTGCCAGAAAGTTCGGTGGTTAGTCTCCCGTTAATGGGGTCACAAATATTAAGCATGCTAGAGAAAACAAATCCACACATTGTGGGAACTAACATATACCACAGACACTAGTAGAAAAGCCGCAAACCCTATTTGAGATCTGCCAAAGAAACAATAAGTCAATAACATAAGCTACCAAGCCCAAGATTTTCCAACTTCTATATCTGAAAAGTGAACATGTCAGAACACATGAAATTGGAAAATAATCTAGTGCAGTATCCTAACAAGACTAGGCCCAATAACAAACCCTCTCCTCCCACTCTCAGTCACTCCCTCCCTGTCCCCCTCCCATGATATATAGGATTTAGATTATAGCATAACTTCCAACAAGACTATGGTTTTGAAAGAACTTCTGTGAAATGGGAGCTACATTACCTCGTTCCCAAGCACAATATAACATCTGCCATTTTACAATGCTTTTCTGCAGGGTCCATCTCCTTCGGAGGCAAGGCATCCTGGGGGGAAAGGGACGTTTAAAACACCACATTTACTAGACCTCAAGCTATAGTTTATTCTAAGTTAAATCTGCATTGCTTTCTCCAATCAAGAATACCATGCAAGCACAAATCCAACACGCTGGATGAGTGTGAAAATCATTTCAACTGTCAATGGTGCCCTAGACATGATTTTTTCTGATGAATGAAAATTTGTAACAAACAAACTTCTTGTTGGAAACTTATCACTTAAAAGACCCTTGATTTGCACAACTGGATAGTTCTAGGGAGAAATCCAGCCAGTCCTACCTTGGTGAAAACCAATCAAACTGGACTTGTTCAACTCGACTGCGTCACCCTGACTTCTTCTAGTCACGTCCTTTTGAAAAGAATAGGCTTTCGAAAAACTAAGTCACGAAATAGTGCTTGTATTTTGTTTCAAACAAAATTTCCTCGAGACCAATTTTATTTGTAGACTCAGATTTTGGTGACTTATAGATTCATCAAATGGTGAAGGCACTAACAAATCACAAGAACCCCAATCAGCTACGGGTTTCCAAGATGAGAACTTGGAGGAGAACTTTCAAGATAGTGTAGTACATGCATCTTTTTAATATGAGAATTAATATCAATATCCTGGCATTCCAACTCTCATATAAGCAGCTCAATCCTCTCACAAGGTCCCATGACAAGAGAAAGTACATCATAATCTCATTAATTGCGGTATAGACAGTCCATTGGGGTCAAAGCCATTAAATTGAATGGTGGATGTGATGATAGAAAGCACAGGGACATGGCCATTGGTGAGTCCTGTTCTGTCTAAAATGCGGTCCCATATTTCACTAGATGGTGAAAAACCCAAATTGATTATGTCTATCTCAGTCCATTTGATTATAACATACTTTTCAAACATTTCCATGAATAAAACTCTATAATATAAGCCACTGTTCTTATTATGTTGATATAAATATAAGTACCTCCCAATCAAGAACGGTGTCCTTGAGTTTTAACCCACATTTAACATCAGAGCAGCGTCGCGAAGTCTCCTTCATTCCAATAGTTTCCACTTCAAAGTCTCGCACATATCTTCAGGTGCAAAGCACATCACATGTTAAAACGATGAACATGTAACTACATGAAACACAAAGGCAATTTGCAGTACCATATACACAGATAGCCAATAGAATATCACAGAACATATGCCTCAGAATTGTACGAGAAGCTTGTGAATGGTTTGCCATACTCTGCTCCACATGATGGGCAAAGCTCCCGGAATGAATTCCCATGGAGTTCAGCAAGTTTCTCCCTTGGAATCCCAGATCGAAGGTGGAGATTATCAATATTCTGCAAGGATATAAAACCAACTAAGAACCAAATATCTTGATTTCACAACTGAAGAACCATATATGCAGAAGGTCACGCTTTCAGAACATGAATGCAAAACTCGGCAACTCACCAAAAGAAAAAAAGGTATACACATAACTTAAAAATGGGTATTCAACCACTTATTTCAGTCAAGGCCGTCAGTTTTACCAACTTAAAATGGGTCTAAAAGTCGACTGTGATTATCTCAGTCGATTGTGATTATCTCAGCTTTGCGAACGGAGTTTTTCATTTCCCTTTGTTTTATGTATTTCAAAATTACTATTGCTACCACTTTCATAGATTATGTATTTCAAAATTACTACCACTTTCATAGATTTTTTTAACTTTTTGTTCCAGAAATTCCTCTTACCTCTATCAAACCGTATGTATTCTCCCAAACTAAACCCTAGATCCTCAACTCCTAATTTTTCTCTCAAGCAAGTCTTACAAGCTAGAAAGCATGACTCTCTCCTCCTAATTTTTCTCTCAAGCAAATCCTACAAGCTAGAAAGCATGACTCACTCCCTCCCTTAAAATCAACAGTTAAAATCAAAGTCAGGAGTTGAAATCAAGAGTTTCTCTTTTGCTCTTACTCTCTTTCTGTCTCATGGTTATCAGATGGGCTGCATCAAAGGCATATGGCAGAATAGTCGGGCTAGCAAGGGTGTCTGCCTAGGTGGCACATTGCTCGTATATGTGAACACATCACACAATGTGATGCACCTGCAGATGCAGACCCTGCCTCTGTATGGAAATAATGCACAAGCAGCATTAAAAAAATCATTTTGCCCCCTGAAAAGGCAGGGGTATAGTTTGGTGTAACACCCTCCAAAACCCTTAGAACCAATACTCCTTGGTTCTAAGGGGGATTAAAATGAAAACTCGAAAATTAATTTTTCAAAAAAAAAAAATCGGAGTTTCCACATATTTTTTGGCAAAACGAGTTGGTTGTGCTATCTACTGAATTATCAAGCTCTAAAGGATTTCAAAGGGCAAGGAGATTAAACCACATAAACTAATTCTCTTTCAATTTTGGGTTTGAGAGAAACCAAAATCAAGTTTTCTATATAAGTTTCACTGCCTAATAGAATTTTTTTTTAACAATATCTTCACCTTCTTCAATAAACAAAAATTCCCATTGAAATATGTGAAACTGCCTTAACCAGGGATCAGAATAGTATTTATTGCATACTTTGTGGAAACACCTATACTGAGGAGACTTACTGGCAAAGGGAACATCTTGCTAATATTCAAGGAATGTAAAGGCATGCCCTAGTGTGATCGAGACTGATAAATATAGGTGGTGTTGTAGAAATATAGTAAAATTGGTTGTGTTCGGTACAAGAGACCGCACCAGAAGGGGCCGATGGATGCATTTTTGCACCCCGGTCATCATTGATGTGTAGAGGACAAAAGGAAGAAAACTAAACAAACACAATTGAAAACTGATGCAAAAAGGAAGAAAGGAATAGGATTACCAAGAATGTTGCAATGGTTTCACCAAGCCAAGATTCCATTAAATGTACTGCCCTTTTATAACTTCCATGCTATGATTTAGGTAATTGAACAATTTTGGCCAGGACCCAAAGGTCCTAAATTTCATGAGCTTAGGGAACCCCTATTGAAAAATGCAGTGAAGGACATTACAGCCCTTTTCAGCAACTAAAAAAATAGTAGCAAAAAAACATGTTTTCTCAGTTACCACATTTTCCCCTGTCTGGAGAAATGGGGAAAAGCGTGAAATGCGGAGCCCCGCATTTCCCTATGTTTCCATGCTTTTCCCCAATTTTGGGGAAAACTCTAGCAAACCCCAAGGGATGTGCTGCCGATTTCTCAGAAATTTGGGGAAATGCAAGAGCCCCCCCTCGTCCGCCTTTTATTTCTCTAACCTCACAATCTCTCTCAATCCTTCTTTGCCCAAGCTCTAGCCCGAGCTTTCTAAGGTTTTCACAGATAGGTGACCAAACAAGGGTTTCCAGCTTCCATCGCGAGTTTTCTACTTCTACCTTTTTCTCAGGCTTCCAGTTTCTCAGAGATTCTCCAGGAAAAACAACTTTCCCAATTACCAAACAGGGCCTAAGAAGATTTTTCATTTCTCATATAAATTCATGGGCGAAGTATGGGGTCATAATAGTTGAGATGGATGGTCTTATGAAGGACCTGTTTAACTGCTAATTATTTGGTCATTTGTCCCTTAAGGACCTTTTTCTTGAAGTTTGTTAATGCATCAGGCCATTCAAATACTGCAAATTGCTCGTTCAAATTGTTGGGTTACATTATTGATGAGGTTGGGAAAGAGCCTGTAATAAAATTACTGCAAACAATGTTGTAGCCAGGCATCTAAGGATATAAAAGAGAAAGCATATGTTCTTGACTCCTTGTGCATCGCATTCTCTAGACTCTATGACATGGTTAGTTTCCTAAGGGTAAAGGACAATTCACAAAGCCATGGGAATCATTGGTTTCATTCATAACCATAGATCAATCCTAAACCCAATGAAGGAGCTCACAAATGAGAGAGAAATAGTGAGATTAGTAATTACTAGATTTGCCACAACATATTTCGCTTTCTGAAGTACATGCAAGCATAAAGATCCTCTTAAGGACAATGCTCACTTCTTAAAGGTGAGCTAAAATTAAGTAGGCTAAGCATCTAGATGGAAGAATTGTGTCAAATTCATCTTTTGGGGGTACACTCCACTTTACATTAGACATTTCTCATCCTTTGGTGAAAGTATTAAGGTCAGTTGATGGTGACGCGAAGCACGCCATAAGCTACATACATGAGACAATGATGAGAGCGAAAGAAGAGACCAAGTTGGTTCTTAAGGAAGATAAAAGCAAATACAAGCCTATGTTTGAGTTTGTAATAGGAGATTGAGATATTTTATGATTATAGCAAATTGGATTATTTTGTTGGGCTCACCCAATTAGAGCCCTCTCACACGAGTACGGATGCGCGCAGAGGAACGCGGATATATGGGACACAAAAATGCCAAAGTTGATGTGTGTGTGTATGAACGGGTAAAACATGCAAATTAAGACAAATAAGAAATAAAACATACCAACACCGAGATTTTACGTAGTTAAGCTTGAATCCACTATTAACTCAACAGTTACAATAGCCTTCCAAGAAAAAAAACTATCTAGGGCTCACTGATTTCTTCTAAAGACTTATCTCTCTAGGTTCTCTTCTCTAAGGTTTTTTTCTCTCTCAGAGACTTCTTTTCTTTCTAGAGGCTTTCTCTCTCTATAAAAGAAAAGGTTCTCTCTCTCTCTCTTTCTTCTCTTCTCTCTCTACAAAGAAAAAGCTTAAGAAGAGGATCAATGGCTCTCTTTCATCTTCTTCTTTTCTCTAAGAAGAAGAGTAACTTTCTCATTCTTCTTCTTCTCTCTTAGAGAAGGATAGCTCTCTCTTTTTCTTCTCTCTCAAAGAAGGATAACTTTGTCTCTCTCTTCTTCTCTCTCAGAGAAGGATAATTTTCTTTCTTCTTCTCTCTAAGAGAAGGCCTCTCTTCATCATCTCTCTAAAAGAAGGCTCTATGTATCTCTGATACACCAAGAGAGGTACGCCCAAAGGAATGGCCCAAGAGAGATACATGCCCAAATAAATGGCCCAAGAGAGTTGCACGCCCAAAGCAATAGCCCAAGAGAGTTGGCTATGGTTAAAACACCAAGAGAAAACACAACCCACCCACGCGAGGGCCTTTTATGGTGTGTTATCTCTCCCTAGGATAGAGAGAGGTGGAATCTTTGAACACCTTATTTATCCTTATCTCATCTCATGTGGAGACCACATGAGGATATCACTTTAGAGGAAAGCTTTCAACCTCCTCACGTTTTTACCTTTGCATGGGCCAATGGGATAAGACCATTATAGAAAGAATATCCCATAACCCCCTAAAAGGTGGGTCATCTCCATCCCCTTTTATGGTGTGTTATCTCTCTCTAGGATAGATAGAGGTGGAATCTTTGACCACCTTATTTATCCTTATCTCATCTTAAGTGGGAACCACATGAGGATATCGCTTTAAAGGAAAGCATTCAACCTCCGCAAGTTTTTACCTTTGCATGGGCCAATGGGATAAGATCATTATGGAAAGAATATCCCATAACCTCCTAAAAGGTAGCTCATCTCTATCCTTTTTTTCAGTAGGAGTAGCTCATCTTTATCCCATATCAATCAAGTGAGACTTCCCATATTCCATGGGATTATGACTTGGTCAACAAGTCATCTTTTCCTCTTTCCAAAAATTGCCCTTTCCTAGTTACACAATTTCCATTGGTGTCCCTCCCTCATGGGATGGGACGCCCAACAGATTTGGCCCTAGGCTCAAAGGTCCTACATTCTTAAAACATTCTTGATTGAGGCAATTGGACAATCTAGCCCCAGGCTCAAGGTCCTACATTCTTAGATGTTCATGGGATAGTGATCCCTGACAAAATCACAAAAGTATACAAGATGAAACACAAAGTAATGGGTTAATCAAATTTAGATGTGTATTGCAAGACCATGGACAATATACCACTGATCTAGGTGTCTAAAATTGTATGAATTACATATATTAGATGCTCTTGGGATGGTGACCCCAAACAAAGTCACAAAAGTGTACACGATGAATCCAAAGTAATGGGTTGATCAAATTTAAGTGTGCATTGCCAGACTTTGGATAAGAGAGCACCAAACTAGGTATCTAAAATTGTATGAATATATGTCATTTCCACACGAAAATAATAACAAGGACATAGTTCCACACCCACACATATATATTATATTATTGGGTAACCCAGAGATGCACATACACCATTTTTTTTTCCTTTTTGAATGTTAACTTGCGATAGGTGGATTGGAAATCTTGAGGTCACAGTGTAGTGCCCACCTACCCCAATCACCATGCCAAGAGCCCCATTTCCCACATACACACTATCATTAACTGATTATTTTTAAGCATCAAACATTTATAATCATTTCAACAGAAACTGTCAAGGATAAATTCCAAGCATTCTTGTTTAACCAAGTACTATTCATTGAAAGACATTAGAAGTTGGATGCAAGGTATAAACTTTCCAACCTCCAGCTAATATACAGCACTAAATTTAACTCTGAAATGACTTGTTAAAAAATGGCCGAACTTTATATTCCATATAAAGGCAGGAGTATCATACCTGACTAATTACAAACTTCAAGATACCAGCCCTCTCCAACTCTACCAAAGCCATATGTGTCAAACTGGGTATAGCCCGATCAAAGGGTAGTGATGTGTCAGGAATAACCTTTCCCTCACGCTGCAAAGAACATTCTCAACCAATGAATCTCAGTGCTAAGCTCCAGCCTTCATTTACTCAAAAGCAGTTCATATAATATCTGCAAAGATTAATGCGATTCATAGAAATCTTTTTGTGACGATTATTCTCAAGATTCAGCAATAAGTATGTGCAGCTAGTAGAACTAGAATGGGGCATATGACGTGATCGAGGTGACAAATTTCAATCAAACAATGCATATGGAGTGTTTATGAAGTGTCAAGGGTAAAACACTATCAACTAGAATGCTTCACATCTCCAAAAGTCACTAATACGAATTTAAAAAGAATGACCAATTTGAAGTTTCACAAACCATCCAGCATTACAAAGAAAAAAAAAAGGCAAAAATATTGCACAATCAAGCATCAGATTTTTAGGCAGAATGCGCTTCATCATTTGATTTGAAATTTGAAATTTGAAATTTGAAAAGCATCCACTTTGGAGTAGGTATTTTATTTATTAGAGATACTTTTTTTGTTGAGGGCTTGGGTTAGGGGGGTTGGGTGCAGCTTGGAAAAATTTCACCACTGGGGCACATTTGATGCCTGAAATCAACAAATAAATGACCCAAGTGTCATAGACCGCTAAGGCAACTAACCTGAAGAGTCCAAATGCCCTTTGGACCACGGAAGTCAGGTATACCACAAGACGTTGAAATTCCAGCACCAGTGAATACCACCAAATGCTTACTCTGCATACAATGATAAAGATGACTCGGGTAGGGGAAAGAACATTATAGAGAAAATATTAGAGTGAATATGCAATTTCATCTGAAATATATTTGCACATGAGCCCATTGTAGTTTCTCTAGAAAAGCCAACCTTCCGTATCATCATGGCAAGCTCCTCAATCTGCCATTGAAAAAGCAAACAAGCAATGATAAGTTAATCAGCGACAAAAATGTTTTCCTAATATCATATCTGATTATAAAATAAACTTGACGTGAAGACATTTTAAAAAAAAATAAACTTGATTTGATGAGTTTCAATCCAATCTCTACACAATGCTAAAATGTAATTTATGAAAATCGAAACAGCCGAATACTTTTCAAACGCATAGTTAGACACCATTGATTTCCATGTAGAAGAGTAACTCAAAAATCAGAAAACACAAGAGGACAACTGAAAGAAAATTAACTTTTGGTTTTCTGATAGCAGGAGATCACAGATTTCCCATTCATGTTCCTCCAATTTTTGGAGAAAGTTGAGCTTCAAGCTACAAAGCACAAATGCGGTCATGCACTTGGATATCTCATCATTTATTTTGCATTTTGTCATTCCAAGTTCAAAGTATGAACGGGACATAGAGAACTTGCTTTCACGCATCAATGCACAACAGATTCACAAGTATATTGGAGCAATCTAAAAGCATTTGAGGTGAAATGGAGGAATTGCCTTAATCACTACAATAAATCAATTGATCAAGAAACTTGTTGCAAAAGCCTTCTTTTTTCTTTTTGAAAATTCACAATATTTCATTGCCAAGATACTTCACTTTGGTTTAGAGAATCATTTTTTTCCCATGATATAGCACATAACACTTTGTAACAAACAAAGTGAAATATGCCCTTTTTATTGTTAAGGCTCGGACGATGACGATGATTGATATCTCATTATAAATCCACTCAATCGTTGTCCCCTTTTATTTATTTATCAAAAATGAATCAGTCACTTTAGCCAACCAATTAATCAATATACATCCCTTCTTTAAAGAAGGAGGGTAATACAAAAATGATTGCCAAAAAGAATCTAAGTTCAAATGTAAGCGCAAATTAATTTATCAAAGTAATTAAGTACATAAACCACCCCAGATTTGACATAAGAAGCATTTTCTTGAATCCACATGATATGTCGTATTGTATAAAAAAGAGGTCCACCTTGCCATATAGGCACCACCTAGGAGCAAGGCAGGCGCTTACACGCCTCGCCTAAACTTAGGTGGCCTTCCTAGGCAACCAAGATCTGGACAGGCTCCTACGTGCACGTGGTGGGCGACAGCCAAGGTCCAGCCTCAGTTGCCAATGGACTTTTCTAATCTCATTTTTGAGAGGGAAAAAAAGAAGAAGAGTTGAAGATTTTTTAATTTGAAAAGATCCACGAACTTCAAGAAATCTACTTTGGTTTTCTTCAATATGATTTGTTGTGAACTATCAAGAGTGGTCACAAGAGGTAATTTGGATGTTTCGGTGTTTGATATTCATCTAAAACATTGAGGTTAAAAGATTAGGCAATAGGTTAGTCAAATATCTCTGTATTAAAGTTAACAACT